CTACAACGAGCGCAAAGTCCTGGAGCCCGAGCTTGACGAGTATTTCTTGCATGATCGAGCCGTGCGGGAGTCTGGACATGATACCAGCTACCGTTTGGAGAAGGTCTGCGCTAACCTAGCCACGGTTGATCTTAACTCGCTCTTGTACAAATATGAAGTGGATATTGCGCGGGTAATTCGCACCTACTTCAAAGATAAGCTGGAGATCCCTCCTGAGTTCCGGACGGAGGCCACCAAGGACATCGCCTTTGAATCCTCGTCTGTGTGGGACCGTCGCGCCCGACGCAGAAAGATGCGCATGGACACCTATCTTTGGGACGAGGAGAAAGGCATGTACTTCGATTATGACACTGCCAAGCAAGAACGAACGAACTACGAGAGTGCCACCACCTACTGGGCGATGTGGGCCGGTCTCGCGACGCCGCAGCAAGCGTCTCAAATGGTCAAGGCTCTCCACCGATTCGAAGCGTATGGTGGCCTGGTGTCAGGAACCGAGGAGTCGCGGGGCGTCGTCGGTTTGGATCGTCCCAACCGGCAGTGGGACTACCCCTATGGCTGGGCGCCTCAGCAGATGCTTGCTTGGACCGGACTGATCCGGTACGGTTACCAAGATGAAGCCGAACGGCTGACCTACAAGTGGCTGTATATGATCACCAAGGCCTTTGTGGATTTCAACGGGGTGGTGGTCGAGAAATACGATGTCACTCGACCCATTGACCCACATCGGGTGGATGCCGAGTACGGCAACCAAGGCGTGGATTTCAAGGGGGCTCCCCGTGAAGGGTAAGAATTCCCGAGTTGCATGGCACGAAGCTATTTTTCCCCTTGCGCGCCGGTCACTAACTTATTTGCATTAGATTTGGTTGGGTGAACGCCAGCTACGTTTACGGATTGGAGATCCTCAACGCCCATCAACGACGTGCTCTTGGAGCCATCACCCCTTACGAGACGTACAACAAGGCTGTCAGCGTGCAGGATGAAATCCTGTAAGCGCATTCACTTGACATGTCTTGGGTGATTTGTCACTGCCTCGTTACGAGATTTTGAAATTCTTTTATATTTCCCGACGATTTTGGGGTCGAACTTTGGAAACGTCCTTTCGTTCTGCGGTCTCGGCTTTTTGGACCTTGAAGACTTTTTAGATGGACTTGAAAAGCGGTGGGGATAGAGTACAATTGGTCTGCTATAGTTCTTTAAATAGTCGTTGTTTCTTGGGTAGTTGTGCGGTCATAGGACGCAGCAGAAGGGAGCTTGTTCAGATTTGGTGGAGGACCTTGAGGGTTTGCTTGGTGCTCTTTTCTTGGTTGTTTGAATGTCGGAGTTGATAGCCAGTCGTACTGAGTACGATGATGAGGGATGAGTTGAATTCAAGCCAGCGTTTTTCTGTTTAATGTCTGCGAGCGATGAAAGGGGGGGGGAGGGAGTAACAAGTGGGCCATGGCTGTGGTTGTCAGGTCCGTGCAACAGAGAGTAGGGCTCCTCTTTTTCCCTTTAAAGTTCTGACTTTCGTATCAGTGTATCTCTTCATTTCCGGACGTGTCTTTTTATAACTTCTCTAATAGTCCATGCAGGAACCAGGCCGATGCAACCCGCCAATGGCCATTGCTGAAGCTGTGCAGGAAAAAAATCAGGAGGGGATGAAGCGTGGTCTCAATCAGTGCACTGTGAACACTGAAAAGTAGGCTAAACATTAGCCTAAACATTAGTGTAGTTAGACTGTGGTAGACTGTTACTTTGTTCGACTTTTGGCCGAAGCTAAGCAGTTGACAGAATCCACCGAGGTGTTCATTTCACAAGGGAACATGATTAGAGACGGGCTGCCGACCAGCCGCGGTCTGTTCAGAAGCGGGGGAGTGGATGGAGTGGAAGGAAAGAGAGGGAGAGGAGGAGCTGGAGGGAAAATGCCCCGAACCCGGCTTGGTTTTGGACCCGCATGTGCTTTCATCAACACTCCATCCATCCTTTCCTGTTCTATGGATCTGGTGAGTCCCGGGCTCTCTAGTCGGCGCAATTCCTCCATCCGGTCTCTTCCATGGTCTGCCACACCATGACGATCATTTTCACTCCTCCTACTCGTAATTTAAGCCCGGGATGATTGCCTGGCTTTGTCGCTCATCTTACCCCCCCTACTTCTACTTCTACTTGGTTCACCTCCGCCGGCCTTTTCTACCCCTCCGTCCCCTCCATCCCTCTCCCCGTCCCTCCTCTCCTCCTCCCAAGCTTTCCTTGGTTTAACCATTCAACAATCGCAACAATGGGCGCAATAGAGATCCCTCCTTTCGAGAATACTCCGATCGAGGAGATTCAGTCCCGTGTCTCGACGGTGCGCCAGACTTTCAATGCACACAAGACCCGCGATGTGGAGTACCGGCTGGTCCAACTCCGCAAGCTATACTGGGCGTGAGTTTTATTCCCTTCATTTTCCCCGGAGCAGAAGCAAAAGAGGTATGGACTATGGAAGCCATAATGCTAATCCTTGCCCGTTGGCAATAGTGTGAAAGATCATCTCGAGGAAATGCGCGAGGCGCTCCGACGGGACCTCAACCGACCGGATTTCGAGACCGAGCTCGGCGACACTAACTGGGTCCTGAACGACATCGTTTTCGTGTGTCGCAATCTGCAGAAATGGGTCAAGGATGAGAAGGCGGAGAATATCGATATCACGTTCAAGTTCGTGAGCCCGAAGATTCGGAAGGATCCTCTGGGCTGTGTTTTGGTTATTGGGTATGTGGGCCTGCTTTGCCTAGCCTTGCCTGCTGCCGCTCACTATCTTGGTTTGCTGGGGGAGAGGAAGTTCGGAATAAGCTAATTGTGGAGGATTATAGTCCGTTCAACTACCCGTTCCAGTTGACTCTGGGTCCGGTGATTGGTGCTATCGCCGCCGGTTGCACAGTGGTGGTCAAGCCTAGTGAAAAGTCCTCCCACAGCGCATCGGTGATCCAGCGGATCATCGAGGCGGCGCTCGATCCGGAGGCTTACACCGTGGTGCAGGGAGGAGTCCCGGAGACTCAGGCGCTCCTTGCGGAGCGGTGGGATAAGATCTTCTTCACCGGGAGTGCGAATGTCGGCCGAATCATCTGCAAGGCAGCTGCGCCCCATATGACCCCCGTCGTGCTGGAGCTGGGCGGTCGCAACCCCGCGATCATTTCTAAGAATGCTGATCCCAAGCTGGTGGCGCGTCGCATGCTGTGGGGGAAGGTCACAAATGCCGGACAGATCTGTACGTCGCAGAATTATATGCTCGTGGAGAAACCCATCCTGCCCGCGGTGGTGGATGAGTTTAAGAAGGCGTACAGCGAGTTCTTCCCGCATGGAGCCAAGACCTCCCCCGACCTCAGTCGCATCATCGATGATGCTTCGTTCCAGCGAATCAAGAGGATGATCGATAACACCAAGGGCAAGATCCTTCTTGGAGGAACGATGGATGAGAAAGAGCGCTTCATCGAGCCCACGCTCATTCAGATCGACTCGGTCGATGACTCCCTGGTCGCCGAGGAGAGCTTCGGTCCCCTGTTGACCATTCTCCCCGTCGATAGCATCGACGAGGCGATCGAGATCGCCAACGGCGTGCAGTCTACGCCTTTGGCTCTCTACCCATTCGGCACCAAGGCCGAAGCCGAGAAGAGTATGTGATCTTCTTCCTTTCTTTCCCGGTGATTACCCAGTCACACAAGTTAACCTCTCTTTCGAATAGTTCTCTCCCAGACCCGCTCCGGAGGTGTCTCCATCAACGACGCCGCGCTGCACATCCCCACTCTCGAATTCGGCGGTGTGGGCGAGAGTGGCAGCGGCTCCTACCGTGGCAAGGCCAGCTTCGACGTCTTCGTACACCGCCGCACCATCACCACCAGCCCGGGCTGGATCGAATCCGCGCTGGCCGTCCGCTACCCACCCTTCGGCAAGAAGCAGGAATTCTTCATAAAGGCTGGTAGCCTGACGCCGGATTTTGATCGCAACGGACAGAAGCTCCGACTCGGCTGGCTCCGCTATCTCTTCACTCTCGGCGGTGGATCTGTCAAGTCCGGCGTTACTCGTGCCACCATTGTCGCTGCGGGTGAGTGATATTCTCCTTACTTTTCTTCCCCACTTGTCAGTGTTGTCATTTTGGATTTGTTGCCCCATGCACCATCCCGGTTCGCACGCAGGCTTCTTACTGTCCGCATCTCCATCGGCAGAATAAGGGTCGACTCGTAAACTCCCGAGTTTGCATCGGAACCGAACCGCTACTATCGGCCTGCGTACATTGACCTGGCATGTTCGATCCTAACCCTCTCGCCCTGGTGGTTTTCCGCATGCCCTTCTTAACCGGTGTCACATGATCTGATGCCTGCCTTAACCCCCTCGTGACATCTATTGTTTAATTTTTAATCCTTTATCCACAACTCTGGACACTCTTGAACCACAAAAGAAAACACAGAAAATCCACCAAGCCATACATACTTACCATATACTATCTCCAGTGGCATACCTCGCACTCCAGCTCCTCGACCGCCGAGGTTCCAAGCTATGAATAAATCCCTCCGATGATTGGCAAAGTAACAATTAGATGTTTGATTTACTGAATAAGTCTTGGTTCGGTGCATTGATTTCTCGGATGACTCTTTTCTGATATTCGAATTTCTCTGGATTTTCCATCTGGCGCGTCTGTGCTTTGGTTTGTGCTTTTAAAGGGTGGGGGGTCCTATGTTTATGATTATGTATATTATAATTTGTACCCGACGGCATTTTGGGGGGCTGGGGGCTGTGTTACTTGCTGAAGGGAGAAGGGGATATATACCATTTAAGTCGGTGGTGGGGGTTACCTACCTATGTAGCTAGCAGGCTAGCTAGCCGGTGAGACAAATTGGAAGTATGATCATGATTATTCCCGGCGTCTTGTTCAGAATGTAGGCGTCTACTCTATGAATCATTTTCTTATGAGTCACGCATCTACTGAAGAATAAGGGCCAAATTCCGGCGTGTTTGGTTTCAGTGGACTTGAATGTCTATTTATCATCATTGCATGCATGTCACGTCACATCTCCCTTCTCGTGTCAAGATAGTCAGTAGTGGTGGTCGTCAAGAGAAGCAAAAACCCGTAGAGTTGCACAAATAAAACCTAGGTATTGAGGCAGATGGTCTATGAGCCAGAAATTGGAAAGAGATGTCGGAAAAGACTTGAGATGTGACAGGGTTAAGCAAAAAGAAGATTGTGAGGGGATAGATGAGCAACCCGACCATATACAGTAACATGGTTGTCACAGGCTAGATATGTTTTGAGATATAGAGAAGGTTATGTTGGGAGATGCCTTGAAGGTGCGTGATGTGTAATGTGCATCCAGGGGGAGACGAGGGAGGAAGGGGGATGATGTCTGGCTCCGGGTCTTCACTAAACCCCGAAGCCTGAGACCCGCTAACACCTCCTCTCCACGCCCTTTTGGCTCACGCAGAGGTACTTCACCCCCTTGTATGGTTTGACGCCTTCGCCGAGCCCGCGGCTTTTCCGCGGGTCGATGTTGAGACTGTCGACTTTGAGACCGGAGGGGAGCCAGCCGCGCACGGAGAAGGAGACCGAGGCGGAGGTGGGCATGAGGATGGTATTGAGTTGGGTTTTGGTCTTGCGGGGGGCGGTGTGGAATATGTTGGCTGGCTGGCGGTCTTTGGAGGGTTTGGGGGAGGAGTTGTGGCGGGGCTTTTCTGGACGGACGTTGTGGGGTTCGGGTTCGGGTTCGGCGCCCGTTTCTGGGGTTGTATGTTGTGTTTCGCCTTCGGCTTCGGGGAGGAGTGTTGATGGTAGTGAGGGAGCTGGAGGGGCTGGAGTTGACGGCTGGGAGGGGTCGGAGGGGGGGTAGGGTTGGGGTTGTTCGGCATCCAGGAGGTTGTTGGGGTCGGCGGCAGGAGAAGCCGATGCTTCGGCGTCTGCTGCAGCCGCCGCGGCTGCGCGAGAGGATTTCTTGACGACCTTCTTCTTCTTCTTTTTCTTGGTCTTCCGTTTTGTGGTGCCCGTTTGCGGGTCCTGGTATGCCGTGGTTGGGTCATAGTAGCCTTGGAGAAGGTTGGCGTCCGCATCTTCCAGCTCGTCTTCGGCATCGTCCTCATCGTAATGACCAACCACGCTACACCGCAGGGTTGCGGTGCCGGAAACCGTACCGGCGTCTTTGGTCGGGACTCGCCATTCGAGCACCTCGCTCCCCGGAGAGTACAAGGCCTCTCCGCGGCTGGCTTGCATCTCTGTGATATTCCGGACTGACTTGGGAATGGGGACTGTAACGACGACCTCTTCCAAGGCAGGCGCCGTGGAGTTCCCGCCACCTCCCAGGAACGAAGGGGTCGATGACCCCGACCCACTGCGCCCAACTCCGGGCCGGTTGGCGGATGTGTAGCCCGGAAAGTTGGTGTTCAGGATCAGGCGCACTTCGAACTCGGCGCCTGTTGGACCGAGAGACTTGCAAACATCCACGATAGCCGGCAGGAAAAGCTTCTCCATGTGGGTGGGAGGTTGGTCGAGGTTGGGGTCAAGCGGTAGGAGATCTACCTCATACCCGGCGAGAATGAAACGTCCGTCCGGTGGAACAAAACTGAGCTCCCCCGGCCGTTCCCGCCATCGCGCTAATCGCACACAGGGGTGGAAAACAGGAAGCTCCAGCTTCTGCCCCAAGGCTTTCTGGCCGCCGGGCGCCGTTAGGGAGAGAAGGAGATCTGGGACACCGGAGACCTTCGCAGTAAAGGCGATGGTGCCGGAGGCCAAAGCTGATAGCAAACGACCGGACGGGGCGATAGTGACCGACAAGGATTCGATTATGTCAACATATATCTCGTTCGAGGTATGACGAACACCGGATTTCCGCCAAGGTATCGCGGGACCTTGTGCTGCGGCGGCGGACGACAAAGATTGCTTCAATGCGTTGGGCTGGCCGAGGATTGGCGTGGATGAACTGTTTTGACAGGACCACAGAAGTTAGTATAATTGACTCAGAGCTGCCCCGTATGCGTAAGTGGCGGGGTCATCGACAAGGTATAGTTACTCACCCAGCCAACCCAACCCCGCCCAAGAGTTTCCCCATCCATCCTGGCATTTCCACCACCTCCTGCAACATATTGGGCTCGGTGTTGCACACGATGCCGCCATCGCACATCTCGTAAAGTAGCTGTGCGACCACATCGTAGTTGGCCTGTAGCTTGGTTGAGAGCAATGGCGCCCCAACAAACTCCTCGAGGACATCGACGACTCGATGTAGAAACTCTAGCACCAGCAGCGCTTCCGAGTCAACCTCGGAGACTGCGAGGAAGGTGAGATTCGACTGGACGATGGAGAAGACGGTCACCGGTGGAACCGCACCGGGCAAGTACAGCACTGAGGGGCGAGGGGCCGCATGGGCGAGAAAGAGAGAGCGAATTACTGGTGCGGAGGGCGGACGGGAGCGGTAGACCTGTTCGACGATCGGATTGCTGGAGGACAGACGTCAGTAGATGGGGGAGAAGAAGTGGAGAGAAACAGACGTGTGCTCATCGTAAATATAAAGCGCATCGACTTGGCCGCTCATGATGGCGACCTAACTCGACGGGGCTGAGGAATGGGAGTGTGCGGTCATGGTCCGTCCGGGCGTGAAGGTCGGGGAAGGGAAATGAGGCCATCCGCCTCCAAATCGCCCGCGTTCTGCCGTCTACCTCCGCCTTATCGATCGGATGAATCCGATTGATAAGTTACCCGTCTCGGTCTCGGGGATTTCCATGCTCGATGGATTGAGCTTGTATACAGCAGTTCAAGTTATCTATTTTCCTCTATTTATTCCCAATTTCTTCCGGACTTCATACTTCCCTCCCCGCCCTCGCTCAACATGCCTTCCTCCTCGAATGAGACTGAGCGCTGGGATGTTCAGCCCAAGGATGCAAAGCGCATGCTCGCCGAAGAATCCTACGATGACTGTCTATCCTGCCGCATTACAGGTTGGTTTTAGTTTTCTCTCCGTCTGCCCCAACTCGCTTGAAAGCCCCGGTGGTTAAGCCTCAAGGAACACAGGATCTGCCGCATTTATCGGCCTCGGTGTCTACAGCTACTGGACGGGCATGAGCAACCTGAGGAAGCAAGAGAAGACAATTATGCAAAGCGCCACCAAGTACAAGATGGGATCTCGACGTCTCGGCATTGCGACTATTTCCGCAACCCTGGTCGGCATGGGCATCTGGAGGGCCTTCAACTAATACTCAAATTTGAAGTTTGTTTGTGATTTGTATTCTACTCAGGGCGTTGTGTATATTAGCTCGAATGATCGAAACTACTCCATGATTGAGAAGGGTCACTTGGGAATGAGTGCATGAAATGTTTATACGATTAGCATTGACACGAGCTGCCTCGCCGGGTATCGCCAAAGCCTGTTAACCTCTATAGATTGGATGATTATGAATCAAAAAGGAAGAGAAATGAGAGGTGGATAAAAGTGGATGTGAAGAAAGGAAACACAGTGAGGATAGGATGAGCGTGAAAACGGAAAGAAAGATAAATGACCGTGGCCTGAAGACCGCATGCAATACTCCCACAAATGCACCAGGATAAACAAAAAAAAAATGGATCAATGTACTAATAACCGCTGCGTAACCATAGGAATATGAACTTCGTCTAATCGTCGATACAATATTCTTTCAGGTGAAGCGGCCTCGCTTGCCGCCGCCAAACAGGTCTCGATTCCCAAGGCCGGACAAGTCGAAGAAATCCGGTACTGCGAGCTTGCGTTTCGAGCCAAGTCCGACGGAGGACTCGCGAGTGGATGATCGAGGGTTAGGTCGTGAGAAGTTGTTATGACGGGTTTGCTGCCGGGCATTTCGAGGCAGTACTGAGACGCTGACGGGCGCGCCGTCTTGAGACAAGGGTGTTGAACTATCCGAGGCTTGCATGTCCATATCTTGCTCTGGTGGGAAGGCTGGTCCGGCAGTGAAAGTAAAGATTGTAGGTCTGTCGAAGGTGCTAGGTTCGGACGACGGTGGGGAGGACGGGGGTGATGAAGCCTGGGGTGGCGGGGCGCTCGGCTCGTCGACCGCTGGAGATGCTGACTTGGATGCTTGTCGTGTCGATTCGGATTCGGGCTGTGCCTTGCGAGTTGCAGCAGAAGTTGTGCCTCTGGTTTGTTTCTCAACCTCGTCGTCGTCGCTATGGGCACCGATGCCGTCGCTCCGTTCCGTGGCCCACTGTCGAACCTTCCAGCCCTCTCCATCACCCAACCCGAGGTTTTCCCGATCTAGAAAGTGCAATAGGTCCTCAATTGCTTCTTGATAGCCTGCTTGCTTGGCCTGGGCTTGTTCGTAAACGGCATTCTTGTAGAGGTTGGTGACTGAGAGGGCAGCCGCCTTGAACGATTGAAGAAGCTGCTCAGGGGGCTGCGGGCGGGGTGTCGATTTCGGCAACGAAGTGTTCAAAGATCTCATCGAGTCCATAATGAAGTGGACTGCAGCAGAAGAAGTAGCGTTGCAGGAAACTTGAGACAAAGTCTTAGAGACGGCGACGTCGTCACAACCGCCACTAGGAGGGGTGACTTGGAACCGTGCGTTGGCTGCCAACAGGGGAGCGGACAATTACTCGAAAGGGTCAGGAGGCGCGGGCAATATCAAGATATTCCAGAGATATGGTTCACAAAGGGTGACAGTACAAGTGAGGACGATGTAGATAAGGGGGAAAGAAAGGGAGTGGGAGAGTGAAGTAGACACACGATGTTGACTCAAGGATGATTCGATCGGGAGAATGTTGGCGCAGCTGATCCTTCTTTGCTTCTGACCGGGTAACGTGACCCACAGCGGGGAAACTTGTTTTCCGCTCTGCTCTTCTGGGCAAGCGCCTTATCCTGAGTGTACAGTAAGTTACTGCCAGCGTGCCCTGCAGTACGGGCTACGGAGGGACCTCCTCCTCCTCCCGAGTCCCGAGTTTTCCCCTCTTTTCCTCCCCTGCTGACTCATTTATTACTCACCTTAAGCTTGCGCGTCTCCCCGGCCAATCAGCGCGTCAAGGGGCCGCGCTTCGCCGGCGAATTTCCATTCGCCATCCCGGCGCGACTGCGAGGCGGTACTTCTTTCCAAGGTTCGTCCTTTGATCATCCTCCGTCACTACTATTGTTTTTCACCCTACCTTTGTCCTCCATCTCGAAGAGAATCGTGTGACCAGGCTTGTCCTCAATCATATCACACTCAGAGGAGTGTCAATCTTCTCTCATCAGTCTTTCTCACTCGCTCCATACTGGTCCGATTGTATACTATCAAATCGCGTTTCTCCCGATATAGTTGAACTTGCCTGCGCAAGGTGCGCTTTGGAAAGTCATGGCTCCTTCACACATTCCGACTTCCGACC